CGCCCGCGCGCGCGCGCGCGCGTTATCAGCGAGGAATCTCGATTTGTTTGCTGTTGCGCGGGACTCGCAATTACGTCCCGGCCGTTCGAACCAGTCCTCGTTCTTATCGCCGTAACACACCGGACATATCGTGCATCGTCGAATTGCGTGCCTCGTGAAGAATCACCAAGAGTTGCGTGACTCTTTTTACATCCGGACCGGTAGTGGAGATAACGTAATCCAATGGAATACCACGATTTATCAGCGTGCGCGAGTAACGAACGAATTCTCATAGATACATTTCCTTATAGCATCTCAACTGTCCGAAGTGATACACGGAAAGAACGACTTTTGCTGAAGTATCGAAGAAGAATTTAGCTTACACTGTTAAATCTATAGTGTCAAACTGAACCTTATTTAAGTCGCCACTGCTGCTACTTAATAAATAGTTATTTTTAACTAAAACAATATAGTTATTTTTAAATAAAACAATGGAATTTAATCCAAATTTGAGTTAAATATGAACTGTTTTAAATTATTTAATTCAATTGTTTTAGTAAAAAAAACTATTTATTAAGTAAGAACAGTGACAACGACATAAATAGGGTTCAGTTTGATACTATAGATTTAACAGTGTTTTATGATATTTTTGAGGCAATACCCGTCTACTTTTAAAATTATCATACGTGTACCAAACGAAATCTTAATAATTTCTACTCGTTAATAACTTAATAATTTCTCTCGTTAAACTTATACGCAAAGATTCTCTCTCTCTTTCTCTCTCTCGAGATAAATCTATAAGATGTGCGTTAATCTCTCGAATCTTTACGAGAGGCATCTCAAATTATAAAGAGATCCGTCCTAATTTGAATTCAAGTTGCGCGTCAATGGAGAGGACTCGAGGCCCGAGGCTGGCTGCCGGCCGTCCACCTTCATTTAGTCCAGATAATCGTCCCTTTCAGACTAGTCAACTACTCCAGCGCGACGTGGCAACTCTCCTCTTACATTCCCCTCGCATCGGCGACGTTCATTTACGTTGGTTGCGGCCGCGCGATTTACACGCTCGACTTGAACAAGACCGCGGCGACGACGCCCGGCGGGTTTCGGAATCGGGTCGAAGTACTCGTGTGTAATTACGGACCCGTCGATCGCACCGCATCCCGGCAGCTCTACGAGCTCGGCCGACCGGGCCTGTGCCCGCTCGGGACCCTACCCAGCGACCGTTACCAGTCCCTCTGCAGTAAGTACAAGCTCTATCTTACGATAACTTGAAGCCTTATACATCTTTTAACAAAAAAGACAAATAGATTTTGACAAAAATTGGGTAATAAAAAAGTTAAGGCTTTAGAAATTACTATGTGAAATGTGCATCGTGATTTCTAACTATCGGATAATTCTTTCTATAACTTTTCAAATCAAATGACAGCAGCGTGTATATAGTGATATTTTGATGCAGCGAGGGTTGATGCAGGTCAAGTAAATATATTCAAATGCAAGGGAGAAACGCGCGAGGTACCTCGTAAGATTTAACATTCACAAAGCCTAATAACCCTTATATATGTTAATACTACATACGTGTGTCAGCGAACAATCGTACACGGTTTGTTTGCAAATCTCAAATAACGGCGCGAGGTTCAACACCCGTTGTCATCACGTTGTCCGCCCATGCACGTTCGTTACTACGATACTTATTTAACGATTGGACACCTAAGCGAGTCGATTCGCCGCTTCATCGATCGTTACGGGACACGCGACCACTCGGTTAATCCTTAAGCACGAAAGCTCGTTTATCTTTATCGGTGTTTCTGAGCCTCAGATGCCGGGGGCACTTTTGTGTGAAGAAGATTACCTTTGTCGGCAGAAGTGGGAAATCTTTCCCTCACCGTTAATACTTGCTGATCTATCTTTCGATACGTATTTCTGCGATCGTATTTTTATATCTTTCCTTATATACTTTTATACGTTATTGGATAAGCGCGATAATTATGTAACGTCTCGACAGAAAAATGTTTCGAAAAAAAAAAACTTACGGAAAGTATAACGGAAGTAATACTCAATAAATATGTACTATCAGAACAGGAAATTTTTTTGTCATCGTATTCTTCACGTAAAAAATATCTTACGATAATTTCAATTAAGGCGAAAATTTTAAGGATCATCGCGTATCTTATCACTTAATAACTTTGAGCTCTCAGCTCGCCGAATATATACAGAAACGTCTGCATTGCAGTTTATGTGATTAAGACGGAGGGAACGAAGTTGTTATCTTTCATTATCGCGTATATCTTCCCCCGCGTTGATCACATTAGTCAACCGAACGAAACCAGGTTAAGGTCCGTCAATGCGGATCAACGTTTTCCGTGCTCATTCTCTAGCTCGGCTGACGTGCTCAGAATGACGAAACTGCAATTAATGCTGAGTAATCTTGCTTTATTAGAATGTAAAATAAAAAAAACGATAGCTACATTTTTTAACGATCAGCACCGCTCTTGTCATACGATGTAGAGATTATTCATCCCTTTCTGAACACGGAGAACCTGACATAAGAATGATGGATGGACTAATATTACCGAAAAGGACATATCGGCCGTTCCGATAATAATTTAGACGTTCTCATTCTTCCCACGTAACATGTTTCCGAAAAATGATCCCGTAAATAAATTTATAGGTGTCTCAGCGAAACCACAAATATTCTTTTGTACACGAAATATATTGGAAGCCAAACTGAAGAGAATTATTCTAGTATAAAAGCATATTTTTTTATTCCAATTTATATTTATATTTATAGAATTAGTCGAGATGTTTTAATCGTATATTAATTCAAGAATTAATATACGATTAAAGAAATATTATTTTGTATTAATTCCGAAATTCTATCTAATTGTGAGCACTGATAAATATTATTTTATTTAGGAACGGTGTAGGATTTGCCATTTTTGAGCAAATCAAGCCGAAGATCGCAAGTGAGAAGTAAGCAGCCGATAAGGAATCGTACGTCTTCTACAGTCCACATT